TCATCTATTGTAGCAGATCTTATCACACAAAGGGAATTTTCAGGTAACTTTGCATACATTTCCCCAGTGTACTGTGCTTCACTTTTCTCATTTGTAAAGTCTGTGGAATAGTCATAGAAAACTCAAAGTGTGGAGAACATATGAATATACCTAAATCATTCACAGGCAGTCTGAATGTTCCAGTGATCTCCAAGGGTAGTAGGACATGACCAGGCGTCTGATTCTGCGAACATGTACATGTAAAGACTTGGGAAATTGGGCCCTGGTAGAGTCCATATGTGTGTATTACACCAAACAGCAACCATACAAAAACTGCAGATTGAGGACTTGGAATGGAAGACAACATTTTAAAATGAGTGCAGGTGCAAAATGACTTCACCTGTTTGATGACATCCAGCATGTAACTCAAACGTTACTGTACATCTCTCAATGTGCAGGTTACCTTAAAAATAAACAGTCCTCTTCTGTTTTTAAAGAGCCTGATAGACTGCAAATTTTAGAATATGAAGCAGTGAGTTACAGGAACTCAACTAAAGCAGCTTCACAGACTTTCAAAGAAATAGTACAAGGCTCACATCATGCAAGGAAATTGTTTAAAAAATTACTCGAGTTGCCCCTCTGCTCCCCAACCCATTTCCTGCCAACTGCTGACAATTTCATCAGGCTTTTAAATAGGAAATGCTAGTTTTTAGTGATATAAGCCCTACCCCATACTTTGACGTTCATTAAGATGCCCAATTTCAAACTCCCATTGCAGATAGCATCAAAAAACATGGCTTACCTGGTATATTGGACTTTTATGTTGGGTTGATGCTGCAAATTTGTTTAACTCTTTCAGTGATCTTTGTTTAAAAGTCTATTCAATTAGAGTTTTACTTTTGCTGCTGTAGGATTGATGTCTGATTCCGATACTGCTTTCTGGGACAGAGTGCTAGACATTAATAAAGTTTAATTATGGGTATGGCGTTCTACTACTAAACTGAACCATATTTTTTAAAATTCTAGACTAAAAGGTCCCAATTAGAACAGTTACTTACGCTACAGTAACTGTGGTTCTTTGAGATGTTATAGTCAGTGTGGATCCCAATGTAGGGGTGCAAATGCCTCATGCTTGTGAGATGGGACCTTTTTGAGTAGCAGCATCTTTGGGGCCCCGGCATGTGCCTTATGCCACCTCATGTGCAAAGGTATAAAGGGAACAGCAGCTGCAACCCTGACCCAGTTCCCTTGCAGTTGAAACCCTGTCATAACTAAGGACTCAGGGATGGAAAGTAGGTTGTGGGATCCATACCAAAGTACTCTGTGAAGAACCACAGTTATTGCATGGTAAGTAACCATTCTTTCTTCTTCGACTATGTGTCAGCGTGGATCCTGCTGTTGGTGACGGGTGAGCAGTAACCTCCTCGGACGGTGGGAGTGAGGTGTTCTAGCTGTATCAAATAGTGATTGGAGTTACTGCTGTCCCAAACTTGGTATCTGCCCTGGCACCCATGTCAAGTGCATAATGTTTCAGGAAAGTCACTCCATTACTCCTCATTGCAGATGTCCAAGACTGGAGCATTACTGAAGCAGGCGTTAGATGCAGCCTGTGCTCTGGTGGAGTGTGCCTTGATGTTAGAAGAGAAAGGCTTACCTGGCAGCTGATGGCAAGTACGAATGCAGTGTGTGATCCATTTGGACATTTTCCATGGTAAGATAGCTTGGTGTTTGGACAGGCCAGATACAGACACAAAGAGACAGGTAGAAAGACAAAAGAACTTGGGCCCAGTAAGGTAATACAGTAACACTCTGGATTCATCCAGGGTGTGCAGTTTCTTCTCAGGGAGCAGCTTTGGGAAGAAGATTACCTTGTCAGTCAATTGATTTAGGTGAAAGTCTGAGACCACCTTAAGGGTGAACTTGGGGAGTGGTCTGAGCACCTCCTGTCTCTATGAAAGACTGTAAAATATGCTCCAGCCATGAGAGCCTGGAGTTCACTGACTCTCTGAGTTGAGGGGGTGACCCCCAGAAAGACCATTTTTAATGGTAAGGTGGTGCATCAAACATTCTGGCAGTGGTTCTGAGGGAGGCTGCATAAGCTTCAGGTGACTGACAGTGAGGTCCCAAAGGGGAGCTAGGTCTCCAAACAGAGGTTAAGACTTTTGATACTGTGGGATGTGAGAAGATCAAGTGTGACACACCTGATGGACTTCTCTCCAGAGGCTTTGCGTTGTCTGTTCTTTATGAGAAGACACTGAGCTCTGCCTGGAGACTCAGCCTCTGTGCTGTTGATGCCAGACTGTGTGTTAAAGCAGACACTTACGATCTCAGATGATGTAGGTGTCAGGCGCAGTGCTGGCATTGATGCCAATACTAGCTCCTTTCTTGGTACCATCTTTTCTGCCCGGGCCTTGGGTGTAGCATGTCTTCTGGATAACACTGGCTTGTCCACTAGCAGGATTTGAGAGCTTGTCTCCTCAGGGTCTGATGAGACATTCATAGATTGTGCCAAAAAGTGGCGTTTGAGCCTTGTGTCTTGTGACTTACATGTTCTGGCAAAAAATGACAGACACACTGAGCAACTGCTAGGTATGTGCAATTCCCCTAGGTAGAAAGGCACCTTCTGTGTCTATCTTACAAGAGTATTAGTTGATCACAGGATTGGCATGGCTTGAAGCATGAAGGTTGAGTTTACCATGCTAAGGAACCCTGTACAGGAGGTCTTTCCAGGATGTAAAAGACCTCCAGGAACGAGGAGTAATGGTCTCAAGCTGCAGTGGGGGAGGTTTAGATTGGATATTAGGAAAAACTTTTTCACTAAGAGGGTGGTGAAACACTGGAATGCGTTACCTAGGGAGGTGGTAGAATCTCCTTCCTTAGAGGTTTTTAAGGTCAGGCTTGACAAAGCCCTGGCTGGGATGATTTAACTGGGAATTGGTCCTGCTTCGAGCAGGGGGTTGGACTAGATGACCTTCTGGGGTCCCTTCCAACCCTGATATTCTATGATTCTATGATTCTATGTGCAGGGGAGAGAAGGGGTGGGGTCTAGCCATCCTCATTTGGTCAAGATGGCTAGACCCTCTTCCTCTCCTCCCCCCTGCCAGTATATTGGTCAAAGATAAAGGTAGCCAAGGAGTTCTGAAGAATTCAGAAGGTTTGTGGTAAGGTTTAGCTGAAGCTAAGAGCTAGTGGTCGGACACTCGCCAGGTTCCATCTCACTGCCCCGGCAATCAGAGGGAACTGAGGGAAGGTCGCAGCCACTCCGCCCTTTATGCCCTTGTACAGAAGCCCAAGGAGGCCAGAGTGTGTACAGGGGCCTGATAGACACTGTTACTCCAAGATTTCTGGTCATGTGCACTTGGCATACTGACACGTACTCAAAGCAACAGCAACTTCTTTCACAACTGTATTTATGTCACAGTGATTAAGCTTATTGTGATAAGAGTTCTGAACTTTGGTCAGTACCATTATAAAACCTAACTACAGAAAACTCCTATCTACTAAAAATTGAAAAGCCTTCCTCTTTGGGAGCAATAATAGTAAGACTTTGCACTTCTATCCTAGGACATCTATGCAGTTTAAAAACATTATTCAAAATAAATTAAGCCACACAGCCCATTCAATAGTGAAGTATATAGTCACACTTTAGATGGGGAAATGAAGAAGAGAGATTAGCTAACATGCTCAAAGTCACGCAGCAAGCCATCGGTAGTCTACACTACCCACAGGATTGGCGGGTAGTGATCACTCTGCCGTCAACTCCTGTACTCCACCGTGGTGAGAGGCGGAGTCGATGGGGGAGTGGCGGCAGTTGACCCCGCGCCGTGAGGACACGAGGTAAGTTGACCTAAGATACGTCGACTTCAGCTACGCTATTCTCGGAGCTGAATTACATATCTTAGGTTGATACCCCCCTACTGTAGACCAGGCCCATGTCACATATAGGACTAAAACCAAATTGCCTAGTTCCCAGTCTTCTGTTTCAAGCACTAATCTATGCTTCCTTCAATGGGAAATATCCCACTAAGTCAAATAATTGAGCAGTGAATTGCTTATATTTGATAGAATGTTAAAAATAATATTGTGGAGTAAACCACTTTGTTTTGGCTGTTTTCCATTAAAATCATTCATCTATCACAGCACAAATTGCATTCCAGCTGGAAATTTAGCTATCAAGATTTAATTATTCCATCAAGTTCCAAGCTTCCATATCCGTGGGGTTGGGAGGCAATTTAACACTTGAGTACAGGCAGTTAGATCAGTAAGGTATGAAAACATAAGCAGCTGGGGCATGAGGACTTTTCAGTAGCATGAGGAAGGAGCCTTCTTCTGGTATGGAATCTGAATTGCGCTGCCCTTTTCTCGAAGGATTAATCTTCATGGCACTGGCATCGATTAATCAATTTGGGCACTGAGAGAGGGTGAATTATCCTCAGAAAAAGCTATGTGGGATAGTAAATAGCTTAGAAATGCATAAGGGAACATCTCAACAGTCTGGATGGGGTTAAATCTACAGTTTGTCAGCAGTTTGCAGTTTGCCTCCTTGAAGGCACCAGGTCTTGTGGGCACAGGAAAATGATAAAGATTGATAGTCCCTTTTGGAGGTGCTTTCCCTCAAGATCTGTTTCCACGGAAAGTGAAAATATATCATGTATGTCAGCAAAAAAACAAAACAAACCTGCCTTCAGAATAAGGTCACAATTCCAAAACCTGCAGAATAATTTGAATTTCACACGAGAGCCATCTACTGCGTCTATATTCTTTATTGTTTCATTTTTGAGGCCCCTGGGCCCTTGCTTTTCCGCCCATTTTCCTTAATCAGGTTCACAGTTTCAGTGAGTGCCTTCTGCTCAGAGAACCAGTAAAGCTGTGACATGACCTGGAAAAGGCTAGCAGGCAATAGTGATTCGTTAATATGACTTTGGAATATTTGTTCAGTTTTTAAAAAAAATCTGAGTAACCAGATGCTTGTATTTGGCCCTAGAAGCAAGTTCATTCATAGTAAAAACCACATTCACTGATGCTTGTTGCCAATAAGATTTTATTTTCCAGACTTTATGACAGATACAAATCATGAGAAGACCCAAAAAACCCCACCACATATAAACAGACTATAGTTCCACAAACATTAGATACAACTTACATGTGTCTCATCAAGCACCATAGGCAACTAATAATTAGAAGAACCCTCCTTCCCCATCCCCAAAAAGAAAATGAAAACATGAAAAATATTACACTGAATATTAAACTTTCCCTTTAGAACATTCTCAACTTGGGGAACATCTATTTACACTTAACCACCATAAAGGAAATTAAATGGACATGGAAAATTAGTATTTCAGAATGTTTATTTTAAAATTTCATGAAAGGATGCACCTGACCCTACAAATAGATCCATGTAGGCAGAGGCTTTGCACCCAGGCAGAGCCCCATTGACTTCCAAGGGGCGCTGTGTTAACGCAGGAGTGCACCTACACCAATTAGCTGGCAGGATTGGGGCCTTAAGAATCAGTTACACTGATAGTGTTCTTTTAAGGTTATTAGGCCAAAAGACTGCCCTACCTTGATAGTTCTCTATTCGGGAAGAGCTTACCATAGTACTCCCCCCCCGCCACTTATTCCATGCTAACTAAATGTTAAATGACTTCTCAACCTGTCTAATAATAAGCTGGGGAACATCCCCCATTTTCAAGGAATGTCATACACATATAGGGTTACTGTCCGCTTACGTTATATTTTAAATATATTTCCTTCTATTTTACCATTCTGGATTTTAAAACTCTTCTAATTTTTAAAAAAATCTAATTTACTTTCCACTATTTATGTTGTTTGTTTGGTTCCTACATTCGTCTTACTTTGGATAATGAATGTCAGTGCAGTCAGTCTGCAACATTTTTCTTTAGTCAGTTTCATTTTCAGGTGACCAATAGACATACTCTATGAAAACAGTTTATTTTTTTAAACATATGCCCTCTGCAATGTTTGCAATTCAAACATTAAAACACCTGGGGTTAGGGGTTATTTTTGGTAAAAGTGTCTTACAAAGTTGAAATGTTGGGCCCCAAGTGAGTTAGACATTGTCATAACCATAAGGGTAGCTTAAAACTCCTCCTTACCTGTAAGGGGTTAAGAAGCTCAAATAACCTGGTTGGCACCTGACCAAAGGAACCAATGGGGAGAAAAGATACTTTCAAAGCTGGGCTGGGCGGGGCTGGGGGAAAGAGGCTTTGTTTTGGGTTCTTTGTTTCTGTGTTTGTTTTCGCTCTTGGGACTAAAAGAGACCGGACATCAATCCATGTTGTCCAAACCATTCTGAACCAGTCTCTCATATTACAGAAATTGTAAGCACAGCCATGCAAGGCGTATTATTTTATCTTTGTTTTCTCAACTTGTGAATTTTCCCTTTGCTGGAGGGAGGTTTATCCCTGTTTTGTTGTAACTTTGAAGCTAAGGCTAGACGGGGTTCCTCTGTGTTTTGTGCATCTTTTGTTACCCTGTAAAGTCATCTTCCAACCTGATTTTACAGAAGGGATTTTTACCCTTTCTTTTCTTTTTTTTTTTTTAAATAAAATTCTTCTTTTAAGAACTAATTGATTTTTTTTTCAGTGTCCAAAGATCCAGGGATTTGGGTCTGTGTTCACTTTGTAACCAATTGGTTAGGATATTATTCTCAAGCCTCCCCATGAAAGGGGGTTGGGGGGATATTTTGGGGGAACAGGAACTCCAAGTGATCCTTTCCCTGATTCTTTGTCTAAATCACTTGGTAGTGGCAGCATACCCTCCAAGGGCAAAGAATTTGTGCCTTGGAAAAGTTTTTAACCTAAACTGGTAAGAATAAGCTTAGGGGGTCTTGCATGCGGGTCCCCACATCTGTACCCCAGAATTCAGAGTGAGGAAGGAGCCCTGACAGACATATCTGCTTAAACTCTAATAAAATTCTGATTAAGCATCCATCAGTAGCAATAAGGAAGCTGCTCCTCACCGCAGTCTGAAGAATAAGACAAAGTAAAGCCACTCTCCTGTCATCCTTCCAAAAAGGGCTTTGTCTAGACCAGTGGTTCTCAACCAGGGGTCTGGGACCCACTGTGGGGCTGCGAGCAGCTTTTAGAGGGTCTGCCAAAATAAACCAGATAGTAGGGCCGGTGTTAGACTCACTGGGGCTGGGGCTGGGACTGAAGCCCGAACAACTTAGCTTTGCAGGTCCCCTGTGGTGTAGGGCCCCAGGCAATTGCCCTGCTTGCTGACCCCTAATGCCAACGCTGGGTTTTAATCTACTGGAAATGCAGAAAAAGTTGTTGTGGAACAGGTGGGCCATGGAGCTCTTACACCGTGTGTGTGTGTGTGGGGTGGGGGGTGGGGTGAGGGGAAGGGTCTCAGAAAGAAAATGGTTGAGAACCCCTGGTCTAGACAGCGTCCTTTTAAGACTTGGAGAGCATTTAACAATTTATAATGAGGAGATCTAGTCTCAGACATCAGTCACTAGAGTTCTGCAAACTTTTAAAGAAGTCTGCAAATACCACAGGCTTTTAATACCAAGAACAAGCCTTCTTTGGCTGCAGCAGGGGCTCTCTCTTGGGGCTCTATTGTTAAAGTACGTTCCACCAAGCCCAACCTGGTGCAGAAGACTGTGAAACGAACTTCTATCTTTATCAAAACTTTTCCCACCTGCTTGCAGATTAGATTTCACTTGCATTTCCCCTCCACTCCCCACACCTTATGAGCCTATTCAAACAGATTCAAAACACCTTAATAGCCAGTTACTAAAACATAATTTTGTCAATGTCTTAAAGAAAGACTTCCTTTCACAAAGTTTTAATACACATAGGAGACGTCACTCTTTTCAGTTATAGTCCACAGAGAAAGTAGGTTATATAATAAGTCAGTGCACATTTTTATTATAAAGAAAAACAAGCTAATGGCAACTGCCACACTTTCATCCATACTTCAGCAGCTCCAATAAGCCAGCTTCAGATCTTGCTGAGGATAGATTATACAGAGACAGCAGGGTATATGCGATTATCTGTGCACAAGAGGAATAACACAGCTCCCAGCAAAGTCAATGGGAATAATCCTCTCCTTCCCCAACCCCAAAGCACTGCTTTACAAGTGGTACCCTGACTGCTCATAAATATACAGCTCCCATATTGAGCCCCAACTTATAACTCATTTGAAAAATGTTACAATTAGGACTGTATTTGACAGACAACTTACCATGAAGACTGCAGTGCTAGGCCAAACCAAGTGTTTGTTAAAACTTGTACAGCAGCATTTTAAGCCTATGCAATTCTCTTAGGAAGGCTTTACAATTTAAGAAAAAATAAATAAAATAATAGTGCCAGAAACTGGAGTTTTTGCTCCTCTTGATCCCTCCATAGATTCACACTCTGTGGATTTCTTCAGGCATCACTGTTCAAAGCTGGGAGAGATTTATTAGAAGACAGAATGTCTTCTTGCAAATGCTCCATCGGGTGAAGTAACTCCTTTTTTGCTAGGTATAGACACAATTTAAAGTCCTTGTTAGAACAATTTCACAATCTTCTGAGTACAGCCCCTAACATCAAAAACATTCTCATTAAAAATAAGGCTGCTAACACTTAAACTATATGAGATGTAGCAGTGCTACAAGCCCAGGAAATGGACTGATAAAGACAAGCTGTCAAAAACACAGACAAACTTGTTTGGTTTTTTTTAATTAAAAACATGGAAAATTAAGTTTTCTGGGATCCTGAGAAGTTACAGGAGTATAAAAATATTTCAATTGGTTTCAGAAATATCCAAGTCTCTGATCACATAAAGGAGAATAAGTACCGCCTTTTTTATAGAAAGTATCTTCATAAAAATATGGCCATGATATACCAAGCCCAATCCCCATATCTCATGTAAACAGCTCCATGCCATGCTAATATCAAGGGTTGGATGAGAATGTTAACTGAAGTAATCTAAACAGTTATTCTACATGTTAGACCAAAGGGAATTTCCTCTATATTAAAAAAAAAAATCAGCTATATCAAATCTTTAAATATTGCAAATGCCTTATTAAGAAAACTCTGTTTGAAAAGAGATGAGATAGCAGCAATGGAACAGAACCCTGGCCCAGGACAATGGCTGCCTTGCGCTACACTATCAATATGGCAAAACCATTTATGCAAAAGAAAGGTTTGATTTTCAAAGCCAGAGTCTTTCAGCCTGAAACAAATAGTCTTTTGCACTTACACTGAATTTCTGTTTGAATACCTTTGCCCAATAGATTCAGTTTCATAAACGGCTGCTGCTCTGCCATTACCATGTGCTGTGTTGCACTTGTGTCTCAGCCACAACTGGCTTCAACGTGAAAGCAAAAAAGATTCATGAAGCCCAGAGGGCAGTGCATGCCAGTTACACAATTTAAACAGGTGAGAAGTTATGAAGTTTCTCTCTTTGTTTAAACTTACTAAGGTGAAATTCACTCCTGTGCCGAGGGCCAGCACAAGACAAATACAGCACTCAAATTCCCCTTAAGCTTTCAGACTGAGACTTAAATGGCGCATACTCCTTTTGTTGGTCCTCTGCACAGTAGGGGAATGTGACCTTCGGAATAATGATTAGCCATTATCAATCCAGCAGGCTAGACAGATTTAATCTGGCCACAAAGTACATATGCAACTAAAATATCGTTTTTGTTAAGAAAGCATTATAACACTGTTTTCTTCTACTACAGTATTTGTTCGAAAGCCTGTAGTGCCGGAACTAACAGCAGAAGTATAAAGTGTATTGCACTGTAAGCAGCGCTTCACTTGACTCTTCATCTAATATTGGTTTTGGGGTTTTTTTAATATTCATTTAAGCATTAAGACTTTGAAATAGTTCTCATTTGAAAATACCGGTATTAGAATCTTGAACTACTTTGGTATTTCAATTCACGTTTAAGCAGCTTTTGAGTGCAAGATTCCACTGAGTCAGTGCTGTGACTGTTCCTAATGCTCTTTTATAGCCTGATTTTCAAAAGGGTGCTGAGCGCTCATAGCTCCCTACTTAACAGAAGCTACAGCTTATCAAAACCGCAGAAAATCAGGTCACTGAGGATAAATTATGGGGAATCCTATGGAAATAGATGGCATCTTCACAGCACTATATTTAGTACAATAGTACTGTAGATTGTAGGTTCGGAACTATGTGGCACCAGTAGTTTTGACCCAGGATTTTTTTCTGGTAGGAAATGCATTCAGCAGTCCTTCTTCTTTTTCCAGCCCATCAGGAGACGCAGAGCCTTATCATAGCGGTGTTATCTGAGTCTTGGAGTCTTCAATCTTCTTTGAACTCCTTATGTGTTTGGTGTGTTGTCTGTTTCTGAATCTGAAAATGAATAAAATTTGATGGCTACAGAACATTTTATAGGAACCAGACATGACACATTCTGCTCCCAAGCGAAACGGCTAAAATAACCGAGCTGCACCACTGAAAACGGCTTCCGATATAAAACTGCAGAAAAGCCGACTACACTGGAATGTGATGCTCTAGAAGGGACCCTCTTCTGGACTGAAGAGATGAGAAAATGAACAACATTTGCGACACTGCGTGTCAACACTCACTGTGGTCCAATGGAGATCATTTCATCCACCCACACAAAGAGCATGTGTTTAGGAAGTGTATGCATGAGACTCATGGCAAAATTTCTACTGTGCCCCGTATTTGAAGTTCAGGTTTTATCAATTTAAGAACTTACAAATCACTGATCAGACACTGAGGAAACCCCTAACAGTCACAAGGAGCAGCAGACATTTCCTCAGGAGCACCTCATTCCCCAAGAATTACAGGCCCTTATGCCCATCATGGGTAGGCTTTTAGAGGCAGTTCCAGCCTTCTCCAAATAGTTATTGCTCTTAAGTGCAAATCTGCCCACAGCGCTGAGCCAGAATAACATGGCTGTGTGGTAGGGGAGTAGCACCATGGCTACCACAGCCCCAAAGGCAAAGGCCCACTCTTTCCCTGGTGGTGGAAGGAGGTAGAAAGAAAATGGCCAGCACATATGCATAGTTGGGTTCACCTCAGATGTCCCCTCAACTGCAGCATATTGGAAACCCTTTGGTGGAGCACAAGAGGTTTATATCTGTCCAGGCTCATCAGTTTTCCCCTACCTTCAGCCCGCACAGCAGAGTTACGTGCATCCAGGGCTCTCTTCACCCATTGGGGAAGGAAGACAGGATTTGCCTCTTACAATGTTACAATTGCAAGATGCACAAGTACAGTCACTTAAAGCACAAGCCACAATACACAAAGTACAGTACTACATCTCTCTTCAGAGATAGGTATGTTGCCTCACCACACAGCCCTTTCTCCCCATTCCCACTGGCACCTGCTGCGGCAGAGCACTATATTAAGTATCGGTGTCTCATTGGAATGCTAGGAGTTCTGAGAACGGACTGCCCAGTATGTGGGCAGCTCTGCAGATGCATTGCAATCACATGGGCAGTAGGTTAGGGTAGTACTTAATGGTCTGATGGGAAACAGTTACAGAATAGCATTCTGTAACTACCTTATTTTAATCACAAACCGTCCCTGTAAAACAGTTATAACAAACATTAGAACCAACTGGAGATACTATGTGCCAAATCTCCACACGTGTGCATTCATGCATAAGATTTCAGTGGACATGTTTGTACAGGGTGACCCAAACAGCAGTGTCCAGTGTAACAAGAGAGCACTGCATGTTCTTAATAACTACATGAAGGAGCTTCAGGGGGTGGGAGTGGTGGGTAATCTGTGTCAGATTATACCAGCAGCTCTTTATCCACCAAAAGAAAAGAACTATAAATGCTGAAATCCTGTTTTCATAGTAGAGCCCAATCCCTTTCTATTCAAAGAACAAAGCGCTATTTAAATGAAACAAGAACAATCCTATTAAATGAATAGCCTTTCTATATACTACAAGGGAAAATACAAAAACTTGGTAATGTTCTCTACAGGATTGTGTGCTACCTCACCCACCTTGTCTCTCTAATATACACATGATCTAATTAATACAGCACCCTTGTGAGGGATGAAAATATTATCCCTATTTTAAAGATGCAGGGAAAGGCACCTAGAGAGGGGTGGTGACTTGCCCTAGATGATGCAAAGCAAGTCAGCGGTAGCAGTTGGAACACGCCTGAGACTCTATCCTGATTTCAATGAATCCAGCTCCCAACCTCTTATTCCAAACCCTGCCTCAAAACAGACTTCAATTAAAAAAAAAAAAAAAAAAAAAGCTGGTATCCACCTATCTTAAAAAAATCATCTCAGACAAAACCTTCTTCCTGGGACATTCTGGGTTGTTCATCTATTTAAGCAAAAGTACCCCAGCAGGGGACCACATTTACTTCCGTGTCTTGTACAGCAGGAGGCCCCCCCCAACATGCTATGAAAACTCCCCAGCCTGCCTGTTCCACAACAACTCTTTCTGTATTTCCAGTAGATTAAAAGCCAGGGCTGGCATTAGGGGGTAGCAAGCAGGGCAATTGCCCAGGGCCCCACACTACAGCAGGCCCTCAAAGCTAATTTGTTTGAGCTTCGGCTTCAGCCCAAGGCTGCGGGGCTCGGGCTTCAGCCCCAAGCCCCAGTGAGTCTAACACTGGCTCTACTCTCTGGTTTATTTTGGCAGACCCCCTAAAACCTGCTTGTGGCCCCGGACCCCTGGTTGAGAACCGCTGTTGTATAGCACCTGACACACTGGTTGTGCTTCCATAATGAATATTAACCCCACAGCTCAGGCATTCCTGGCTTTGAGTTCAATCCACTGGGCCGTGCTGCCCTCAACATACAAGAGAAAGTTCGGTCTGTTAAACGCTCTGTGTACTAAGCCCACTAATAACAGTGAAGACCTCTAATGTACTGGAGCCATTCAGGATAACATTTCAAGAGAGGACTCTGATTTCTGAGTGCTTATCTCAAAACACTGTTGGTGTTGTTTCCAAAACGTCTGAGCACACACACACACACACGGATTTCAGTTGGGAGTCACGGTTGCTCAGCAATTCTGAAAAATCAGTCCCAATGTGTATCAAGTCAGGCACTAAAAATCAGAGGCCACTTCTGAAAGGTTTGGTCTATTGCAGCAGTTCTCAAACTGTGGGTCAGGACCCCAAAGTGGGTCACCACCCCATTTTAATGGGGTCGCCAGGGCTGAATTAGACTTGCTGGGGCCCAAGTCCCACCGCCCCGGGGCCAAAGCTGAAGCCTGAGAACTTCAGCCCGAGAACTTCAGCCCTGGGCAGCTGGGGCTCTGGGACTGCGGTCCTTTCTCCTGGCATCATGTAGCAAGTTTTGTTGTCAGAAGGGGGTCGTAGTGCAATGAAGTTTGAGAACCCCTGGTCTATTGGAACAGACCTGTAAAATACTCATTTGTTGAGTGTAATGAGGAGATGATATTGAATTGGTTGTGGCTGTATGTTTCAGATCTATGGAGTGAATGAAATCCACTTACCCTTTTACTCTTAGCATCTGGTCAAAGGTCTCAGGGAGAGGATTTCCAAAGCTTTCTGGGAGAAACAGGGTAAGGATCCCTATCAGCACAGTCAGGCTTCCCATGAGAATGTAAGGCAGGAATCGGTCATAGGCACCTGGCAGAACACAGGACATGGCAACATTAGTTATACACCAACCATCACAACGAGCTCATAGATGGAATAAATATTCAGGACACCACTATATTGTATAATTCACTTTGCATAATTTGTTAGCCAATATTTCCACCTAGAAGTCAGCACAAGTGAATCCCAAACTGGAGTTACTTATGTACCTGCCAATCCTATCCAAAGGGTTTTTCAATTAAAAATATGCCAAACTGTAATAGGGGATGATCACATCTCATAAGGTGTTGCCAGTTACTACTCTGGCACGAATTGTGTACCATTTAACAGCTCCTACATGTTGCTTCTTCCATGTAGGATAACAAATGTCTTGGCGAGATAAACACAATTGTACCACTGCTGGAGGAAGTGAGCCTTCAGTCGTTGTTTTTATTTGGACTCAAATCTTAGCCTCACAATAAAACTTAATTAAATAGAAATTAAACTTCCTCCACTAACAGCACATTTACAAAAACTTGATTAGAAGTGGGGAAAGCAACAGGGCTCCTGTGACAGACGGTGCCCTTGGTCTAGGCAGAATCAGGTTTGGGACTGGAAAGTTACTAGTATTGCCAGAAGCCTTACAATTGTGCACAAGTGTATGGTCAGGATGCAAAATCTGCAAACCACAATAGCACAGAACATCAGAGATCTTTCAGAAAAGGTGCAAACCAAGGAACCAGAGAGTATCTTATGTAGAATACATGTATTCTGGACACGACAATATTATTTCGGATTGAAGTTATACCCGTAGACTTTGCCCTGGTCTACACTAGGACTTTAGGTCGAATTTAGCAGCGTTAAATCGATTTAAACCTGCACCCGTCCACACAATGAAGCCCTTTATTTCGACTTAAAGGGCTCTTAAAATCGATTTCCTTACTCCACCCCTGACAAGTGGATTAGCGCTTAAATCGACGTTGCCGGCTCGAATTTGGGGTACTGTGGACACAATTCGATGGTATTGGCCTCCGGGAGCTATCCCAGAGTGCTCCATTCTGACCGCTCTGGACAGCACTCTCAACTCAGATGCACTGGCCAGGTAGACAGGAAAAGAACCGCGAACTTTTGAATCTCATTTCCTGTTTGGCCAGCGTGGCAAGCTGCAGGTGACCATGCAGAGCTCATCAGCACAGGTGACCATGATGGAGTCCCAGAATCGCAAAAGAGCTCCAGCATGGACCGAATGGGAGGTACGGGATCTGATCGCTGTTTGGGGAGAGGAATCCGTGCTATCAGAACTCCGTTCCAGTTTTCGAAATGCCAAAACCTTTGTCAAAATCTCCCAGGGCATGAAGGACAGAGGCCATAACAGGGACCCGAAGCAGTGCCGCGTGAAACTGAAGGAGCTGAGGCAAGCCTACCAGAAAACCAGAGAGGCGAACAGCCGCTCTGGGTCAGAGCCCCAAACATGCTGCTTCTATGATGAGCTGCATGCCATTTTAGGGGGTTCAGCCACCACTACCCCAGCCGTGTTGTTTGACTCCTTCAATGGAGATGGAGGCAATACGGAAGCAGGTTTTGGGGATGAAGAAGATGATGATGAGGAGGAGGTTGTAGATAGCTCACAGCAAGCAAGCGGAGAAACCGGTTTTCCCGACAGCCAGGAACTGTTTCTCACCCTAGACCTGGAGCCAGTACCCCCGAACCCACCCAAGGCTGCCTCCTGGACCCAGCAGGCGGAGAAGGGACCTCTGGTGAGTGTACCTTTTAAAATACTATACATGGTTTAAAAGCAAGCATGTGAAAGGATTACTTTGCCCTGGCATTTGCGGTTCTCCTAGATGTAGTCCTAAAGCCTTTGCAAAAGGTTTCTGGGGAGGGCAGCCTTATTGCGTCCTTCATGGTAGGACACTTTACCACTCCAGGCCAGTAACACATACTCGGGAATCACTGTAGAACAAAGCATTGCAGTGTATGTTTGCTGGCATTCAAACAACATCCGTTCTTTATCTCTCTGTGTTATCCTCAGGAGAGTGAGATATAATTCATGGTCACCTGGTTGAAATAGAGTGCTTTTCTTCAGGGGACACTCAGAGGAGCCCATTCCTGCTGGGCTGTTTGCCTGTGGCTAAACAGAAATGTTCCCCGCTGTTGGCCACAGGGAGGGGGGAAGGTTGAGGGGTTAGTCACGTGGTGGTAGGAGGCAAAATGCGACCTTGTAACGAAAGCACATGTGCTATGTATGTAATGTTAACAGCAAGGTTTACCCTGAAAGAGTGTAGCCACTGTTTTATAAAATGTGTCTTTTTAAATACCGCTGTCCCTTTTTTTTTCCTCCACCAGCTGCATGTGTTTCAATGATCACAGGATCTTCTCCTTCCCAGAGGCTAGTGAAGCTTAGAAAGAAAAAAAAACGCACTCGCGATGAAATGTTCTCCGAGCTCATGCTGTCCTCCCACACTGACAGAGCACAGACGAATGCGTGGAGGCAAATAATGTCAGAGTGCAGGAAAGCACAAAATGACCGGGAGGACAGGTGGCGGGCTGAAGAGAGTAAGTGGCGGGCTGAAGACAGGGCTGAAGCTCAAATGTGGCGGCAGCGTGATGAGAGGAGGCAGGATTCAATGCTGAGGCTGCTGCAGGACCAAACCTGTATTCTCCAGTGTATGGTTGAGCTGCAGCAAAGGCAGCTGGAGCACAGACTGCCACTACAGCCCCTGTGTAACCAACCGCCCTCCTCCCCAAGTTCCATAGCCTCCACACCCAGACGCCCAAGAACGTGGTGGGGGGGCCTCCGGCCAACCAGCCACTCCACCACAGAGGATTGCCCAAAAAAAAGAAGGCTGTCATTCAATAAATTTTAAAGTTGTAAACTTTTAAAGTGCTGTGCTTAAAGTGCTGTGTGGCATTTTCCTTCCCTCCTCCACCACCCCTCCTGGGCTACCTTGGTAGTCATCTCCCTATTTGTGTGATGAATGAATAACGAATGCGTGAATGTGAAGCAACAATGACTTTATTGCCTCTGCAGGCGGTGATTGAAGGGAGGAGGGGCGGGTGGTTAGCTTACAGGGAAGTAGAGTGAACCAAGGGGCGGAGGGTTTCATCAAGGAGAAACAAACAGAACTTTCACGCCGTAGCCTGGCCAGTCATGAAACTGGTTTTCAAAGCTTCTCTGATGCGTACCGCGTCCTCCTGTGCTCTTCTAACCGCCCTGGTGTCTGGCTGCGCGTAACCAGCAGCCAGGCGATTTGCCTCAACCTCCCACCCCGCCATAAACGTCTCCCCCTTACTCTCACAGATATTGTGGAGCACACAGCAAGCAGTAATAACGGTGGGAATATTGGTTTCGCTGAGGTCTAAGCGAGTCAGTAAACTGCGCCAACGCGCCTTTAAACGTCCAAATGCACATTCTACCACCATTCTGCACTTGCTCAGCCTGTAGTTGAACAGCTCCTGACTACTGTCCAGGCTGCCTGTGTACGGCTTCATGAGCCATGGCATTAAGGGGTAGGCTGGGTCCCCAAGGATACATATAGGCATTTCAACATCCCCAACAGTTATTTTCTGGTCTGGGAATAAAGTCCCTTCCTGCAGCTTTTGAAACAGACCAGAGTTCCTGAAAATGCGAGCATCATGCACCTTTCCCGGCCATCCCACGTTGATGTTGGTGAAACGTCCCTTGTGATCCACCAGAGCTTGCAGCACTATCGAAAAGTACCCCTTGCGGTTTATGTACTCGGCGGCTTGGTGCTCCGGTGCCAAGATAGGGATATGTGTTCCGTCTATAGCCCCACCACAGTTAGGGAATCCCATTGCAGCAAAGCCATCCACTATGACCTGCACATTTCCCAGGGTCACTACCCTTGATATCAGCAGATCTTTGATTGCGTGGGCTACTTGCATCACAGCAGCCCCCACAGTAGATTTGCCCACTCCAAATTGATTCCCAACTGACCGGTAGCTGTCTGGCGTTGCAAGCTTCCACAGGGCTATCGCCACTCGCTTCTCAACTGTGAGGGCTGCTCTCATCTTGGTATTCATGCGCCTCAGGGCAGGGGAAAGCAAGTCACAAAGTTCCATGAAAGTGCCCTTACGCATGCGAAAGTTTCGCAGCCACTGGGAATCGTCCCAGACCTGCAACACTATGCGGTCCCACCAGTCTGTGCTTGTTTCCCGAGCCCAGAATCGGCGTTCCACAGCATGAACCTGCCCCATTAGCACCATGATGCATGCATTGTCAGGGCCCATGCTTTCAGAGAAATCTGTGTCCATGTCCTGATCACTCACGTGACCGCGCTGACATCGCCTCCTCGCCCGGTATCGCGTTGCCAGGTTCTGGTGCTGCATATACTGCTGGATAATGCGTGTGGTGTTTAATGTGCTCCTAATTGCCAAAGTGAACTGAGTGGCCTCCATGCTTGCCTTGGTATGGCGTCCGCACAGAAAAAAGGCGCGGAACGATTGTCTGCCGTTGCTCTGACGGAGGGAGGGGCGACTGACGACACGGCTTACAGGGTTGGCTTCAGGGAGCTAAAATCAACAAAGGGGGTGCCTGTACATCAAGGAGTATTTCAGGCAGGACTTCACGGAGGGTTCCAATAAGAAATGGTGCACCTAAGTTATCGTTCTTATTGGAACAAGGAGGTTAGCCTGGCCTCTGACTGATACATGCCTAGATTTACCTCGCTGCACCTTCTCTGTGAGTGACTGCAGTGTGACCTAGAGGAATGAGTCCCCTAGACAGGGGAAGAGGCAAATGAGTACAAAACAAATCTGGTCTATTGCTTGTTCTGACCCACTCCATCTATCTTTTACATCTTTGGCTGGCAGCAGACGGTGCAGAAGGACTGCATGCCATCCACATCTCATGGCTGCTCGGCAGAAGATGGTACAGTACGACTGCTAGCCATCTTCATCTCTTGCCTGCCTGGCATAAGATGGTACAATACGACTGCTAGCAATCCTCATCTCTTGCCTGCCTGGCAGAAGATGGTACAGTACGACTGCTAGCAGTCCGTATCGCCTGCCCGCTCACCATAAGACGGTTC